TTTTTTTTCATTATTTTTAAAAGCTCGATAGAAGTTTATGTGTTAACTCTGAAATAAGATTCTTGTTTCTTTTTATGTGGAGGAAAATCTATTTATTCGTTTTATTAATAAAATTTTATATTATGTCTGAGTATATATAATTACATAAATACAAAAAGCGACATACGTTCCATTGTTAATCGATTGACATACACTACGTTTCATTCAATATTTTAATTATGTGCAAGTTCAAGTTTTATTGTTAACTTACTAAAACACTGTAGCTTACATTAAAGGATTCTAAAAGGATTTTTTTCTATTACGGTGCAGAGTTATTTTTGCTGATGTAATGATATTCAATCGTACGGTACTTTACGAAATCAATTTTTTTTAATCGATCGAATCGCCTTATGATGAATTTTAATTCACATTTTTGTCACTTATAACACCATACAATGAGTACCAGCCTTTATGTTCCAAAAATTGAAAATAAATTTCAATTGACTTTTTCGATTCGACAAAAATAAATAGCAATCTCGAAGATATTACACTGACAATGAGCTGTAATCAATACGTACGTCATAGATTGTGTTAACTGCATAATTTATTGACAAACGATATTTAGTATTAGTGTCTTACGCTGGATGACAATCATATCGAGACTTTTGAAGGCGTGTGAATATTACGTTAATAGATATTCGGAATTTCGTCTCGTCATCCAGACTGATTAGCGAAGCGAGGTTCATCTCTTCTCGAAGGTGAGACTCTCGGTTTTTTTCTAGAAACATGAGAAGGAGAAAAAAAATCTGATTGTACAAACGCCGCGATGTCGACATTCGCGGGTTTCCGGTGTTTGCCGAAGAATGTTGTATCTGAAGAGTTTATATGTAGAGAGATCTTATATGTATTCGTCTATAACTCATATTATATACGGTACGCAATTGTTCGCATGTAATATCTAGTAGCAAGATAAAAAAAAATCCGGCAAACAAAGTATGACGTCGAGAGAGAATGACGTTGGCAAAAAACACGTCGCAGCGGCTGACGTTAAGATCGGAATTGAGGATGATTCTCGATATCGCGGAACCGCGACGCTAAAAAAATGTGATATATATATATATACCTACTTATATATATACACGCACATTATATTTCAGAGTAAATTATTGGTATTCCGAAATAACGCAACTACGAACAAATTGTGTGAGACAAACATTTTCCATACCAAATGATTCACGTAGAGATTAATGTAGATTTTATCCGATGCATTCGGCTTATATGCGGAACGCCCGAAAAAGAACATACACAAGCGAGCTGTATTAACAGAGGAAATCTAATAGTAAATATTTAACGATAAATAATTATACGTAGTTTTAAAAAAAAAAGTATAAAGGAGACTCTCGAATGCGGATTAGAGGGTTATGAGCTTTTCGGTGATCATACCAGTGTCTAGAAAATTCTATATAACTCTGGCGATCGCGCTAAGGGTTAAGAAGATACGTACTGAGTTTGGTGTCTCACCGTTTGTACGTTCTATTGATCTGGCGCGCACTTCTTTTTTTCTGTACTGCCAATAATCGGATCGATTTAACGTAGGGATAGACGAACTCTCGCGGTACATAGAGCCGTATTTATATTCCGCATTTAGCGCGAAATGTCGATTCTAAGTCTAGGTACATACTATACTGTTAAAAAAAACGCGCGCGCGCGATCTTCTTCGCAACGAGACAAATAAATCTCAGAATCAAACGACCACGTTTGGCGCTAAATGTGAGAACGTACGAATGCGAGCCGTAGCCTTTAAGCGAAAACGGGGAGACGATTAAATTTAGCGTAGGGAGAAGAAAAAAAAAGCGGGAGGCGAATTTTAGCGGTCGTCGAGCAACGCCGGAGATGTTATACACCGATATTGCATGACAAGTATTATTAGCGTACTCGATTTAAGAAACGTCATTACGTTACGACTGTGTGTATATTTTTTTTTTCCTCTTTCCGTAATGCCATACTACAGATTAGTCGAGCCTCAAATAGAATGTGGGACTCGAAACCGGTTGTATTAGCCGCCAAGCGTGCTACGAGACATGACGGGAACGTGTAAATGTGACGTGACAGGCGGAATGCTTCACGTCACGTTGTATTATCAATATTCTATTTGAATGTACGAGACCAAAGAGGTTTGCAAAAGTAGAGAGCCGTTGAGAGAGAACGAAGAGTGGCTTGCGGAGTCATTTTTAGTCTACGGCGTTTGAAACCGTTTTCCCGAACGGAACGGGGAAAGTTGCGGCAAAAGCGTTACACTTATTATTAACAACGTGATGATCACGCACCGCCGCTGCCGAGTAGGTAAAATGACTCCGCGAATCACCGCGACTCAGTAACTGTCCGATCGGCACGTGTTCCTCGTGTAATAACTAAAAACTGATCGTGCATCGATGCTTGAATAGCACGAGTGATTACTGAAACTGTACTGTTTTTCTTTACGATTGTCATAAGGCTTTGTACATAGGAACTAGAGTATACCGCCGCAAGCTGTTAGCTGTGACACATCTCCTAAATGTAATTGTTTGATTTAAGGATGCAACACACGCGTACTTCGTCATCCAAAAGAAAAAACACGTTGCTACTAGGAGTTTCGAATATTTTCCGATTTTATTCGTAGAAATAAAAAGTATGTGTATCCGAATCGCTTTATTTATATATGTAGATGTATACATACGTTTTTCTGTCTTTCCGAGGAGTTAAACGTTTAAATTTTCCTTTTTTTTTTTACTACGTTTTATAATTTTCGCGTTCAAACAAAAAAAATACATTTTTCTTATCGATAGTTTTAAAGAAATTAATCGACTCATAGTTCGCAGAATCTTTGTAGGATCCAAAAGAGAAAATGGAGAAGGCTAAAGGTGCCGTTACCGAGAGTAATTTTTCCATATATAGACAGATTCACTTTTATGAAAAAAATTGTTCCGCTTTAAAAAGAGAAGTATATATATATATAATATATTACCTGTTATTGCCTAAAAATAATATAAAAGACGATATAGACGGTATATTGCAGAATTTTTAAATTCGAGCTACCGGGTTTGGAAAATGTTATAATGAAAATTCTTCAGCCAGGGCACACTCTTAGCATTTTCTGTTCCCTCTTGATCAACCTCAAAAAAATTCTCTTTCGTCTACGACGATACTTACATAGGATTAACACGAACACCAATGCCCGGTCAAGTCGTTATCACATTTAAGCGAGATAAAGTTGTTGTCCTGAAAAATCGTCAGTTTGATAGAAATTTCTATAGAAGTTTTGAATGTATAACTGATTAGACAAAACAGTTTCGGTTTGATGCAATTCTATTTTTAAGTCAAAGCGATAAAATAGCGATAAAAAGCTCGCCTAAACGGACGATACGTAACGCTGTATTGAAGTTGTATCTCGCCTGTGACTTCAATACGCTACTATTTATCTGTAATAAGAAAAAAAACCGTGATTAGCTAAACTATTTAACATTAGAGTAAACGGTCTCTCATCTCGTTTCACGTTGTCTTTGGACTTTCATGAATTTCATCGCGTCAACGGTGTCATGTTGAACTACATTCGTAACAGTAAAACGTATCGTCGATCTGTGTAAATACGTGTGTATAGATAAAAAGGTAGAATTTACGCGCTCGTGTTATGTGTATGCGTGATGAAGAGAGAAAGCGGGGTAAATCGATGTTTATATTATACCGAACATATATATTAAATTACGATAATAACTTTAAATATGTGGATACTGTCTATTTAAACTGTACGATTTAAGCGACGAATTGATCCTTTGCATTTCAAAACTTAAGAGTAGTCGTTAGGTTAGACTGTAAGTATTTATTATTATTTTGTAGCCACTTCGTATTAGGCGGAACGCGTGAGTGTATAGAAACAAGGAGAGAGGTTCTTCAAATATTTGGTACGAACAGCAAAGTGCACGAGCTATAATATTAGTTGTACTGCCACCGTGATTAATTGAATTCTCTTTCTCTATCTAAAACTCTATATTACAGTTAAGAAAGTTCTGAATGAAAAATCTTTAATCAGCATCGACATTTTGTACCATTAATTCTCATCAACATAAAAATTCAGAAGGATGCCTAAAATTTTAGAAAGAACCTTTGTGTGTCCTGATTTATTCACGATCTAGAGCTTAACAAAAAATCACAACAAGATTTTAAATTTATCATGGTTGTCAGTGGCAACCTGAAAAGGAAGGCGAATTCGTGGGTGCATAATCGCCTCGTTATCAGGGAATTCGGCGCGAATTCGACGCGTTTTGTACTCGTATCCGATATTTCAACAACCTCACATCGATTGTGAGAAGATACATTAATATATTGAATCCCTGCGTGTGTACGTAGCCATTCCGTTAGAGATGGTGGGTGGGAGAAACGATGACGACGCGCTGCAAGTCGTCCGAACAAAATCACACGATTCTAGATTCGGCGTACGCGCTTGTCGCCGGCACAGGTCTAAATATTTATATATTACACGGAACGATGATGACATTGTATCGACGTTTAATATTATCTTTCACCGTTAAAACTCTGCACAACGTTCCCGGATGGGACGCGACTTCAGAAATGTAACAAAAGAAGAAAATAAATGCTGTTTAGAGAACTATATAAAATCAATCACGTTTCCTATATTTTTATACGCCCCGTCTCATCTGAAAATACTGCCGAAATACGCAAGAGATATTTAAGACAAATAAATAAAATCACATTTTTAACTAGATGTGGCTACGCAAAAAATAATGGAATTTTCGTTAAATGAGAGCATCGCTTTTGATTGAAATGTCTGATGGTTACCTTCATAAGTAGGTTATCCTCAGCGATGTCTTGAAATCTGAAGAGATTAGAATGATATGGTTCGTTTTGTTCTTCCATCGTCGGGAAATCGTTCAAGATTAAATTCTTAAAATAGATATAATTTCTAATAAGATTAGTAGGAATAAGAGATAACGTCTCGGAACCGATTTCTCGCAAGTGAAAAGGTCCAGTTCTCTCGTCCAATTTCCAATCTGTGTACAAGCTTTTAATATTAAATATAGTAATATCACAGTACGCAATGTATGCGTATGAAAAATCTTTTATTGAAAAATGTTCTTTCACGCTACAACGTCAGTGTACCCTCGTCTATTTAACTTTTTTTTTATAACAGTACAAAAATTGCATTTTTACAAGTTGCCCAGCTTACTTATGTGACTAAGGTAATCCCAGTTAGCAATCTGACGAAGGGTCTTATTATGACTTATCTAATATTATCCGGAGAAGCTGCGGCAAAACGTGAACACTAGTATTCCAACGGAAGGGGGGCGCGGGGCCCCCCCTCCGCGTACAAGAAAAAAAGCGTCTCGCGGCGTGCTTTCCGGTCGCGCGACGCGTTTATCTTTAAAGTAAAATCAGTCGCTACAACGCGTCGATCCTATACTTATATCCACAGATCGGATTCTAATTACCATTTGCTATCTGGGTCTCATCGTGAATACCTTCAGCCGGAAACTCGCAACGTCTTGTCCTCGAAATCGCAATCAAAGAAAATCATTCCGAGTAGTCTACTACCTGCGATACCAGTAGGGCAATTCCTAAACAGTCGATGGCACCGCAAGAGTGTCCGGCCAAAGAATAGTCAGCGAAATCTTCAACCCGTACAATATCTACTTTCGTCTATCCTGAACCGAGGTCAACGAGCGGATAACAGAAACACGACGAGCGTGGTGACATTTTACCGCTGTCCAAAAAGGATAGCCAGAGAACTCGATATGAATGTAACGAGTCAAAGCAAATAAAATGTGCACACGCGTATGTGGTGCAGATAATCGCGAATTGGAAAATCGCAAGGAGTTACAAGATCATTAGTATTTACATACTAATAGGAATTTTGATGTCGCATCGAGACGGCCGAAGGTAGGTTGTCCCATTAATATGTAAGTACAGTATTTTCTCTTTCAAATGGAAAAATTTCGTGTTACCGTTCACGTGAAACTTTTCATTGCCCACCGGCATCCGTTTCAGATTTTTACATTTTCTTCTTCTTTTATAACTACACAATGCATGCATTATACATTTATTAACATCTATCTTATATTGAGAGACAACGCTTCTTTCATGATTACTCGAAGTGTTTGTTCCTGTACATAGGATACACATTATCATTCTCTCTCCTTGTGATTTTCCACTTTGCGACCAAAGGTTTTCAGTTAAACATCTCGTCGATTTGTTTATCCGTTCGTTTTCACTCGTTCGCGCGCGCATCATCAACAGCTCTTTCGCGCCTTCGAAAATCACGTAACAAACCGCCGCCGACAGTTAATTTTGAGCAAGACAGAGGAGGCGTCCGTCGATCCTGACAGAGGTTGTGCACAGTACTAAGTACATTTACGTTTATGCTAGTCCGTAAAAGCTTACCACAAACAACAATGACGATAGATTAATGATCGATCGGCAGAAAATTAACGTAGCGGCGGCCTCCGATCCTCGGCAGGATTGATTACATCTTTTTTTTTTCACTCCTTTTTTCCCTTCCATTTTTTTTTTCCATTAGCTCTGATCGCTATATGTATAATGCGGATAAAATCTCTTTGCATCCTTTATTACAATTTCAGGTCCTGCCTTTATCAGTTGGAGATTAGATGCTGCGCTTCGATTAGATGAAATATATAAGTAGTAATTCTACGCTGAATGAAATTCCTGATGTCGCTTAGGAGCAGTCTTTGAGCTTTTTCACATGCGTTCTCGCTCGGATCGCTTTACTTATTGCGTGTATAATAACGTGACAAATGTGTGAATGTACGTGTGTCTGTGCGTGCGCGCGTGCGTACGTGTGTGTATCATTGTGTATGTGTGTAAGATGTAGATTGTATATATAATATATATATGTGTGTGTCCTCCCTCTCCTTTTTCCTCCTCTCACGAGTGTCTTCCTATATAATTCTGGCAATGTGTGTAATGTAGATTTAATGTACAATTAATTAACTATACAGGTTAACTGGTAGAAATTAGAAACGTTTGACTAGCTTTTGATCATCTCTCTTGGAATTCGTGGAGTTTCATCCTTCGCAATATATATGTATATATAACCGATCGGATACACAGTTTTGGTGGTGCTGCTGCTGCTATTGCCGCTGATCGAGTAAAAGGTATCGCGTATGTGAAACGAAATAATGATTAAGTATGGGTCATCCCTTTCGAGTGTGTTTACGATTATTACTAAATATAGACAGTTCTTAGCTTTTTTTTACCCTAGCAGGATACTCCTGGATTCGAGAAATCACCGCGCGATCTTACACGTATTTACCCTCTAGCAGAATATAATTGTTACAATAATCACTAATATAATATATACTAATTAACTAATTTCATCGTCTTCCAATCTCGGTATACTCTCTCGCTCATTTTTTTTTTACCTCTCGCTCTTACTTTCTCTCTCGCGCGCGCTCGCTAAATTCTTAATTATTTTGACAAGTTTTTCCTTCTTCGCAGTCTTCTCCAATTATTCAATTCACGCGCTCGCGAGGTCCGTGCGAACGGAAGGGACAGTGAAAGCATCCAGATAATCTAAATCGACGGCTCGTGGCGCGTGAATTATTCAGTCTTTCGTTATATATTTTTTTTTCTTATTTCACGGTTAATCGATTATTATTCACTAGCGTTATGCGACATAATAAATTTAATTTTCTGCTTGCACGAAAAAATATTATGCTACATTTACCCGCGACGCTACTTCAACACATGCTAAATAGATTAGATACGATGTATGCTTATAATTTAAAGCCACAGATTTCGATGTCGCGCCGTAATCGTACAGCGCCAGTCTACCTCCCTCGAAATTTCGCTGCTACTTTATAATATCAAATTTCTACACCTCATACGTTTGCTCATTTTCTCTTCACGTAAGGCCCTTAATATCCATTTATTGTATATTTTACTCGCGTTTTATAGCTTATCATCTTATAAAAACAAGAAAAAAAAAAGAAAAATGGGATGAAATCCATCAACCAAATTGAAAAATCACGAGATCTGTGCGCAAACTACAAAGCATACACGCCGCCGTACATGCTTTCTCAATACAGTTTGAGATTTAAAGATATGCGCGAATTAACTTATGCGACAAAGCGGCAACCCTTTAAGTATGCTCATTCTCTAGACGGATAGTAATATTAAAGAGCGACAGTAACGGTAGTGAGAGTGATAGTAGTGATGATAGTAGTGGAAATAGTGATAGTCATAGTGATAGAATAGTAATGATAGTAATAGCGATAATAGTAGGAGCAATAGTAGTGCTAGTAATAGTGATGTTGATAGCAATAATAGTAAAAATATAATATTAATAATAATATAGTAATAATAATAAAAAGAAGGTAAAATCAGTCCAGTTATTAAAAAGTTGAATTACAATTACGTTACTATAACGTCTCCGCAGCGCTTAAAAAAGACGAATTCCATTTCGTAAAATGGATAACACAAAAAATAATATTGCAGAACATCGCATGGTGATGTAATGTTATTTTTCCATCTTTCTTTCCTCGTATTTTATATGATTTAAAATTCCTTTCTCCCCTTTCTGCCCCATAAAATTCTATCGTACGCGTCTGTATATATATATATATATATATTTATATATATAATATACTTCCTCTTATATATCTTTATATATACGGTTGCAGCAAACAATCGAGGAAAGAATCTATCTTTCTAAATAGCATTTGGCTTGCCAAATTCTGTCAATTAAATAATACAATTGCATCGGACATAATAAAAAATAATTTGTGTGTATATGTATACGTGTGTCGTTCGATCTTAAAAGAAAAACTTATCTTTATCTCTCTCTCTCTCTCTCTCTTTCTCTTTCTCTCTCTTAGTAATATGTCGCGCGTGTCGGACATTTTTTTTTCCATTTGGTTAAGATATTAAAGCATAAGTGTGTGTACACGCAGATATTAGCACACAAAAAAAAATGTGTCGTCTCCATTGCAGTATCACTATAAAACTGATGACTTCAAACGTGCTGTTCGCCAAAACACGAGCGAGCGCGAGATAGAGATGACTCGCGTCTTGGCGGACAGAATTTCCCTCAGTTTTCGGAGTCGAGAATCCGAAAAGGATTGTTCAAATGCGAGGACTTACTTACGAATCTCGGAACGCGAAATATGGAAGATTAGGCCTCGCCGAACCCACCGATCGCTTGCTCGGTCATTCTCAAGCAGAGGGACTCCAAGCGAGAATTGATTTCCGGTTCCGTTGTCTCGTTCGCTCCATTGGCAGAGTGTCCCAAGAAGTGGTCACGTGGCGCGCTATACGCACGTTGCAATGTCTTCTGTAATTGCTATAACGGCAAAAGCGAAGCCATTAAATAAACGGATGTTTTTTCATCTTGCAGCATTGTATTAATAAACGGAATGGAATGCGACTGATCTTATAAATTTTGAAGATTTTAGTGGATCCATCTTTACCTGCAAGCTAGTCTCCTGTAAACTGGGTCTCTTCTCGGTCGCATGTACCGCGCGCAAATTATTCGTATTCATATTATTCATATTCTGAGTCTGATTCTGGTTATTTTGCAAATACGGTGTCGATATACTGTTTCTGTGCGAAGCAATCATGAACTGATTATGCGAATGGCTATTGTGAATGTGATTCAAATTCAAACTTGGCTTCCTGTTGTGCTGTTGCGGATTTCCATATCTCCTATTATTATATCCGTAGTTATGTTGCCATCTGAAATTTCACGTGCACATCGATTATGTCGAAAGTCACCGCATACGTTTATTTTACTCATATTTACTCGTTATTTCTAAATGGACATTTTCTATGGGAGCGTGTTTGATGTCTCGACTTACTTTGGAGTCGGACGCGGATTGCCAAGTCTACTGCGCCACTGCTGCACTTTCTCCTTCTGATTCTGGGTGAAACAGTCGTGCTGCAACACCTTTTCCAAAATGTTGACGTACGCGCACAAAATACCGTCCTCGACGCTTTCCAAAGCTAATCTACTGCACACTGAGAGAAGAGAAATCATACAATAAGAATATCCTTTTCAATCGTTCAAACTTGAAATTTTGACAATCAAATTAGAACTCAAATCTGTACATACATTTTCCAAGTACTTTTGTAAATTGTGCAGGAATATCTTGCGGATCGCCTTCTTGATTCGGTTTCATAGGAGTGGCTAGAATAGTTTTAAGCTCTTCCATTGTATTAATGAGCAGTGACGGACCCTGCGAGAACGAAGCGTTTTGCATGCCGTCGCGGGTACTAGGTTGTACGAGACCCTTTTCTAGATTCAAAAGCGTGTTGTATCGCTGCTGCAGTTTAGCGATAGAGAGAGCCAGCTTGTGTCTAGCACCTTTCGTAACCCCTTGCTCTGCTAATTGATCCTCTGTCAATTGCAGCATATCCTCATAACTCATGGTAGCGAACAGATAACTGTACTTATGAAGTCGTAATGTTTTAAGCCATAATTGTACATCTAAAAAAAAAGAAACAATTTATAGTTTAAATGTTTTTATCCTTGAAGAAAAACGTATATTTAAGCAGAGATGATTTCGAAAGAAAAACGTTATTACGATAAGACTCGATAGTTTAAAGAGATATAAGACATAGTCAGGATAAGAGGCCAAGTACAAATTCATTTAGAGATATAAGACTTTATCAAGTCTATATCTACATTTGATATTTGAAATCATAGAAAATATATCTTCTTCCGGTCATCTCATACGTTGTTGATCAACAGCATTCTGTTGAACAGCAATCTGATTTAAATCTACCTCTCATGCCACTCGCGAGCGAACGATTCGAAGCGTCATCCAAACGACCCTCGCTACCGCTGCTCGCACAGGAACTCTGTGGGCTCAGTGGACCCAAACCAATAATATTGCCTACGTAAACACGAGTTATTTAAAGTGTGTGTGGATACAATGTAAATTTATCTTCATACATGAAATATAATTGAAAATTACTGGCATGATCTCCAGAGACACTAAAGCTGCGCGGCTTGTGTCTGGATGAGGTGTTCGTGTTATTGGTACGATCGACAATTTCGAGATGATGCGGCGGCGCTACCGGTGGTGTCAGGCTATTCGAACGACGTTGGCGGTTAACGGACGTGGGAAAGTGTAAGTTAAACGCGGCGCCCGGTTGCGTATTGAACAGATTTGACTGATCACTGTGATGCTTGGAGGTCCTCTGCCATGATGAATTTTCCCATCTTGTGATAAGAAAAAAAAAACCGAATTTAGAAACATATTACGGATAAGAGAGTATTACAAGTGTCATTTGGTGTCACATTATCTCAGTTTGATTCACCTTAATGGATAATCTTCGAAACCGGTAATGGGTGGTGTACTGCTGATACGTTCTTCCAGGTCTCTCAGCCACTGCGTCAAAAGACGTCTGTCTTGGCCGGTTATGGCTGGGTGTATCAGAGTGTAGCTCAAAAGCTGCTGCGTTTGCTCTGTATACTGTCCCGTGTTCACGCAATGGCTCACCAATTCTGGTATAGCTACCAGATAGCTCTTCTTGCACTCTACATTCCCGGGCTTTAGTAAAGGCAAATGTGTCAAGAGCTGATTAATCGCAATCTCCGTTGACTCCGTCGACAAGGAGTTGATGTAATCTGCAGTACAAAAGTTTTGTTTTATTACAAAGAGATCTGCTGCTATGTACGACAGATCTTCTTAAAACACACATAAAGTTCATTTTTTAAATATAAGCACTTGTAATTACTTGGATTATTGGCATTTATTTCCTTGGTATCCAATTCTGCCACAGAGTGCAAAGAGTGCTCTATCGCCTGCGAGAGAAACCTCGCCTGTACGGCAGGTATAATACGCAGCAAGGCATAAAGAACGACCGTCTGTTCGCATTCGTTCCACTGGGAGAACAAACGAGTGAGCTCACTCACTTGTTCGTTGAAGGGAGTAGTGGATGTCCACTTCATTTTGGATCACCTAGAGAAATTTCTCTTCCGATGCGTTTAGACCACCGCTTAAGCCAAACGCACAACAGTCGTGCTCACAGCCTTCAAGTAGCTGACAAACGCCAGTATTTTGCTACAAAAATGAACCAAATTCATCATTTTATTTAAATCATCTGTAAGTTATGTATCTTTATAAAAATATAACAGAAAGGCACAAACAGCAAATTATTAAATATTACAAAAGTTGGATGTAAATGTTGCTTTAGAGAGAAATGTAAATGTAAGCACTAAATATTATTTTAATATAAATTCCAAATGATACGCGACTTTCCAGTTTGGAAGCCATATGTGTGTAAGTATAAACATTAATTGACACTACATTTTTTTCTTTATCCAGTAAAACAAAGACAGTTTAAACGTCTTCAAATTAAAAAGGAAAAAAAGTGTGAGTTTAGCTCACGAAAAATCTCACGAGAAACGATTACGAATCGCAATTATGTACACATCTCACAAAAATTCGTTTCGAAATTGAATTTATCCTAAGCAAATAGAAAGCCTGTTTTGATAGATGTGTCAAAACAAGGAGGCTCGTCAACATGTCCGTCACGCGTCATCCGATCTCCACGATGTCCGTGCTCATTCGAGAGATCCGTCTCGAATCTTCTTCCCCGAGCACGAAGCTTCCGTGAGCGACCCTCGTCCGCGTCGAGCGAGGGAACGGCCGGCAACGGTCCGCCGACGCGACGCGTCTCCCTGTCGTCGTGCAATTTCACTCTGTCGCACCCCGGCCGGGACTGTTTCGTCGCCGTCGTCAAAAATTCGTGGGACGTGGGGCGCGATACACATAACCTCGAAGCCGCTCGCGCTACTACCGTGTCGCCGATAAGAGAATTCCGCTGAGGTCAAGTTTGTTTACCCCGCGCGCGATGCGTGTGTATTTATAGCCTTTCCTGCTGCGGCCCGTTCGGCGGTGCAATGGCATCGCGCGCGCGAGACGAGGCGACGTGGTGGGCGGCGCGGGAGGAAAAGGGGGAGGGAGGGAGGGAGGGAGGAAGAGACGAGCGGCGCCTCACGAGAGGGAAAGCCGATAAGATGCCTCCTTTTTTTTCTCCTCTCTCTTCTTTCTTGCCGTCGAAAAGCATCCGGGCATTTCCCATTGTCGAGGGGGGGGGGGAGGGGGGATTTCCTGCGAATCCGCTTGGCGAATCTCGCAGGAGATTCGCGTCCCCCGGCGTCGCGAGAGAGACCATCGTCGGTTTCGCCGCCCTTGTCAACGTCGCCGCGTCGCGCGCCGCGTGTGTAGGTACGTGTCGAGCGTGTCTGTGCGTGGCCCGCTCGCTTGCGTGCGTGCGTGCACTGCGTGCGTCGTACCGCGTTCGACGTCACACAGGCGAGGACGCGGCGAGAAAGAGAGAAACGGAGGGAAACCGGTAACGGGCGTAAGAGGGAAAGAGACACGGTGATGCGAAACGTATACACGCTGGAGGGGGAAGGGGGGCGGAGACGAAGCGCAGAACGAAGGGACGAAAACAAGGGAAGACGAAGAAGATCCCCCGCTGTGGAGGATCGAGAGAAATCGATGGATCTCTATCTCTTTCTCTCTCTCGGCGGAAACGAACGAGACATCACCGTGACGACGACGACGACGACGGCGAATGACGCGAGATAAGGGTGATCTTGCCCGCCGTGGGGACGCGGCTACGTCGCCGCGGGGTTTGTTACAGCGATGGATGTTGTTCCGGTTAAATGCATCGCTGTGTATAATAAATCCCTCGGCGAAGCGAACCTGCGACACGCACGCAGTGCTCACTTCAGTCGGTCGGCGGCCCAGTGCCGATGTCGTCGGGCAAGCACACGAGCCTCCTTTCCTCTCTCTCTCTCCTCGCCCCGTCCACGTCGCCGCGATTCCTCGCGTGGTTTTTAAATGCACTTTTTGTTGGATAATTACCGCAAAAGTGGGATCGACGAGGGACAATCTCCGCTGGCACGGCGCTCCTTCCTCTCCGGTGCGACGGCGACGACGCACAATTTTTACAGCATTTTATTCCGGTGTCCGAACGGGAGTAACGTCCATCCACCATGCGGCGCGATGGGACTACGTGACCACACTGGCTCCGCCGCAGTGATGCCAGCCAGACAGAAGTGGTGCTCCGACCGTCGTCCCGCCGCCGCGCCGCTGGGCGCCTACGCTCGCGCGCGGCGTCCCCGCGTGGCCGCGGATTGGCTGCGCGTCGCGGCGCGACGGCCAATCACGGCGCGTCCGCGGTTCGTTCGTCTCGCGCGCGGGGTGCGTCGACCGCGCGCAGCTTCCTTCATCACTCCGAATGGTTATTTGCTATTATCTCTGCGCCCGTCGACGGCCGGCAGCGTGTATTGGCATCGTGATAATTAAATTTGTCCGTAATTGCACCGAAAAAGCACCGCCGAGGGCGGGCGCAAAAATTTCTGAAAGTTTCTGATCAAACCAACCAACTTTCATGGACACTCCTAAAACATTCTCAGACCCAACATTCCTAACTGATCTTTATTTTTCATTGTATCTCTTTACTCTGACCATACCTGACCATATCCGGTCATCCGGAAGCAGGAAGACTGGTATAACTTTGACACTAGTCAAGATCGTCTCCAGTATACAGAGACGAGATCAATTAAAACAAGAATTGAATTCGTCTTAAAAAGCTACGCTTGCATCCGAAAAGAAATTCAGAATCTCGCTTTTTTTTTTAAAGCACATATAAATTATTACGAAAGTATTTGTTAAAAAAAGCAATTATACTTTTGTGTGTGTATATAATTGATAACATTAATTCTTTTGTATGCTCTTTTATTTATTTTTATAGTAAATACCTCGATTTTCTTGTTAAAAGTTTTAAACTTAATGTTATGCATGATAGGCAAGTATAAGTGATGACGAAATTCTGGTATCTCACAGCTATGCGATATAATAATACGATAGGTGTAGATTAAAATAAAATTCGATAAATCTAGAAAATCGAGTGGATAAAATTGTGTACAAAGAACTTACATATTTAAAATGCATTAGAAAATTATGGACGTAAATGTGTGTAGATTCGATTTGCATACATAATTATTTTAAGGTAACGATGATACATTGACACGGAAATACCGTTAGCCTCTTGGTTGGTTATCTATCAATTCGGAAGGCACATAAATTAACGCGATCGAAAATAACTTGTTACGAAAACAATTTCATATATTGTCACTTATCATCTGTTTTATCGTTCGATTCTAAATCTTTTAAGATTGAGCCGTGGTTTTTTTTATTTTTGACCTGAAAACAATTTCATGCATTATCACTTATCACGATCTATTTTATCATTCTAAATCTTTTTTTAAGATTGAATTTTTTTTATCCTATATAGGTGTTATCCGCTTATCTGAAGTACGTACAGAGTAAACGTTAAGTACTGTATTATTATTAAGTTTGTGTCAGCATCTCACATTCATACCAAATCTAAACAACTATCGGTCTCTCGTCGTTACATTTTTATATTTAACGCGACCTTTATTTCTTTAGAAAGTGTTCGAAGTTCCCAAAACGTGACTTTCACGAGATTTCGAAAGTCCTTCTGTATCCTCTCAATTTACAGCTGTACAGATATATGTATCTACACTTAATTTAATACTTCAAAAACTTCATTTCTCATCGAAGATAATTAAAGTTAAATATCTCAGACAATCGTGCCTAACGTTAATTGTAGACAAATTCGTACATTGTTGCTTCTGTTCAATTTAAAAGAATGTAAAGTTATACATAATCCATACTGTTCAATTTGTATCTGTATTGTACTTGAGTCAATTTAATATTCCTTAAGGATTTACTTTGATTCCCACTGAAGGAAATAAAAATTAAATATCTCGGATAATTATATCTAGCGTTAATTCTACACTCAATCCTCCACTTATTATTGCTTATCCAAATCAAATTTATTGAAAGGATATAAATAAAGCTACATGATAGGATGCTTGTTCAATTGGTATCTATATTGCACTCATCGATACACACTTGCCAAATTGTATATACTCACGTTTTCTTAATTTTCTTGACAAAGATATTTGTCACTGAGGTCAGTTTATTAATGTTCCATCTACAAGAAAATACCAATGATGTTCACACACTTTATATAGATTCAACAGTTGTGAATAAGAGAATCTGATGTGAAAAATGTAGGCTAAGTCAGAGAGAGAGAGAGAGAGGATGACATAAATAAGGGTATAGAGAATCTGAAACGTATTTCCTTTTACAAAATAGGAACCGTACCATATTTACGTAAGTGTTGAACTTGTCGCTTATCACAATGAATTAAATGTTGTCAATACTCGCTCACGCACAAATAAGTTTGGCCGCTAACCAACAATCTCTCATAATTGACAAGATTTAAAAAAATACAATAACTTATAACGAGAGTCCTAGTGTTGGATTATTTCTTAATGTATTAAACGCTACTTAGTGTTAAATATTAAACATTATTGTTGAGCATTATGCTCGGTCAATCCGTCGCTCTCCGTCACGAGAGCTCGTTCCAGGATAACGCGACCCTCCTTGTACCGTTGTTGCTCGTCTGTCGCAAATTCGTACACCCACCCGAGCTTAGCATCACAGTTTTTGCAGCTGACGTCTCGGACCATGTGACGACCCGTCAGCATCACTCTATCCTGAACCTCGCTGTACATCATATATCACAGAGTTAAATAAGGCCTGTTCTTTACAACTAAACTGGCTGCACCAGTTCACAGTTTATCCTCTTCTTTTCCACATTAGAAGAAGAAGGATAAGCTTTGAACTAGTGCAGCCAGTTCAACTAAAGAACAGGCCTTAAGTAAAAAGGCACAAACATAAATGCAAAGTTGATGTTCACATTGTGTATATATATGTATAAATAAAAATATATATATATATATATGTTTAACTCGTTTATAAAATGTAGAGAAAGAATAAACAAAAAAAATAAAGAAAAATGCAATTGAGCAAATATTTCATAACGGTAGAACTTGAGATCTCGATACGAACACAAAGCACCGTTCGGGAAAGCTATTTAGCTCTTTCTTCGCGAGAATTCATTTCACAACGATCTTGCACAACAAACGGAAGGGCGCACCTATAATTCAGATTGACGACTTTGTTGAAGAGGAACGCGCGTCCCGTGGCACCCGTGAAACGCGTGCTCACGAGCTGTGACCTGTTGGTGAGATTGGTGTCGCAGGAGGCGCAGGAAAACAGGCGACTGCCACCGATGTGCTCGAGAAATATCACTCCCATCTCGAGAGCTCTGACGGGACGACCTGTCTCAAGTCTTCGATCCGCGAACAGGCGGCGTTTGTTTATCTGGCGAATCGATACGAATCGATGTATGTCGCAACAACGAAAAAAGAATCAACAAAATCACACAACTGTCAACGCTGCCATACTGCTCTCGCCTCGTCGCTTGTGTGTATACGTGTGCCATGTATGACTGCCAAATGTGTACCAACAGTCGAGGCTGGAGTGGGGGAAATGTTTTTATGGTACGCCGTGGATCATCGAAATATGTAGAGACGAAACTCCCAGCGCGCGAGATAACGAGCGGGAAAAGATACAAGATAGGCAAGATACCGATCGCTCCGCGACAGTGTGACGTATTTTATCTGTGTATTTATGAGCGAGGAATTAAATGCAACGTCAAAAAAAAAAACATACAGATAACGCGATACGGATTAATCAGCAAAACTATAATTTGTAACTTGTAAATATTTAGATGCGCAAAATATCAAGATTCAGTTCGGAAATGCCTAACTTCATGTGCGTGAGACAAACAAGTATAAATTATTATAAAATTGGAAATCAATATAAATAATAATTAAATGTATAATTAATATATGCTTGATCATTCACGTTTAATTATACACATATACTCACCTCTATAAATATAATATAAATATATATTTTTATAATTATTGGTATATACAAAATTTAAATAATTTTACATACGTATAAATATGTTATTTATAAATTTATTAAATATGAATTAATATCTATAAAATTTCATTTATATATTACATAATCCATATGCATATATTTATTTTGTTAATAAAATCGAAAATATACGCACACACAAATAATTTCTCAAAATATAAAGTATATTCTCATTAAGCATATTTAACAATTTATTTATGCTTTTTATCATACATATAGATTTTAGAGATCTCATTTAAATTTTTTGATTTATTAAAAGAAAATCTTTGTACCGACCACAAATTATAACGATAACGTGTTTTATAATAATATATACATTTTTAGATAAAATTTTATAAATACTAAAAAATTAATTATGCCATTCTTATAAAAGTAAAATTCTTATAAATATTCTGCAACAATGAAATATTATATATACTGCAAAATACTGTAAAAAAGTAATATTCAATATTTTTCATATTATAATAAATAAAGTTATCGCAGAGTTCAAAACAGAGAATAAATAACTATAAATAGCACAAGTATTACATCAAAATATTATATCTTTATTATTCATATATAAATGTGGTATATAATATGTACACGTATATAGACTCATGTAAATTATACATTCTTTTAAAGCTAGGTACATAGATGTTTTGTGCAGTAAAATTCGAAACATTCTCCCCTGATTTCGTTAGATGTCCGATCTTTATACACTGGCAACTAAGCCCGATGTAAAGTCCTGCAGCAAGATAATTTCATACTGCGATAGGTACAAATGTAAAAGCCAAAATGCGGTCAGAAGAGCGAAACGAATCGAAAATATATTGTTGGTCGGTTATTTAATCGCTATATTCATCATCTCTTCAAGGCACATTTGAAATATAATCAGTACATCCCTTTTGCAAACTACGGAGAAACCTATTACATTCTTCCTTCCATTTTACAAAGAGTTTACAAAGTTAAATCGTTACTAAAGAGTTACAGAGTTTTATATACACATGTATAGAAAAAGAGAAACAAACATTAGTTTTATATGTTACAAAGAGAGAAAAAAAAAGAATACGAGAGAAAAGAAAAAATTATTAGAAAAATATAAAATATTAAAAACTCCTTTTTAGCCGAAATCACAGACAAGTCTCTTACTTTCTCAAACAGAGCACAAAGTCGCAACCTCCATTAACACTAAATATATATATATATATATATATATATTTATATGATATATATATATATATATAGTTGATATAAATATTATAAATATACATTCACATATGCAGGTAGTCTTATGACTCTATTACATGCATACACGAATAGACGCGTATGTATTTCAGTACATATAGAGATAATCTAACACATGCACTCGTGTATATACCTGAAAATCTATAAACATTTAAACTTACACGTGTAAGCGCGCGCGTCTATTGGCGTGTATGCATGTATAACATGTAAACAATGGTCGTACATATATCCATATTTTGATTATACCCTTTTTTTGATGTTCAAGCCGTGTCGTAAAGGATATTCCACATCTCGGTATCTATATATAATACTGCACCTATACCTATATACATCGAATGCTGGTAGAATAATAGTAAAAAGTAAAATATATATTTTCGCTTCCTATGTATTATCGGAAATGATAACGAGAGGATAAGTTCTTCCCGAGTGTGTTACACTTTGCAGCTAATGGAATCATGCCAATTTGCGTATCTATGCGACTTTGTATAAAAAGAAAAGCAACAAGTTAAGAAAATAATACATATAAATCTTCTGTAAAAAAATAGAATAATGTACAAATTTTTGCGTGTTGTATATATCCTGTTCTACTCATTTAATTCAATCCCATCTTCGCCATAGTCATAAACGTCACAGCTTCGCAATTTATCTAATCAATAGGTTTATTGTTGGCATTAATATGATTCATAGAATTCGCATAAAGATTATAACGAGAAATAGATGAAAAAGTGCATAATTAAGAATATTATCGAACTTAGTAACGTATATGATAAAATACTTAGTATTAAAATAATCAATTATACTAGATAACTTAACTGATTTTATGTACAACTAGGAGAATGATAAATAAAATAGTATATCTTTTCCAAACCGTAGAAAATGACTTTTCACAAAATAAACTGTAAAAAAAGATATCCTTTACCTTTTTACCTTTTCGATAAAACTGTTATTCCAAATAAAAAAACATGTCCCTCGTATACTGAATAATGGAATAATCTATAATCAATAGCAGTCGTAATATTAATATTTGTATAATAGTAAAGATTAACAATAAAGATATTAACAATAATCATTATGTTATTGATACCGTAACGGTATCGTTTATAACAGCACTTGAAAAAGTATGTTTTAATAGTCCCGGTGATAGAAAATTGCATGGAGAAAACTTAATAAAGTTTTGGTTTTTATAGTGCGATCTTACACAATTAAGCATTTTTGGTAAGTTTTGTCCTGTTGGCGGCAACCGTTGCAAGACAAGCTAGAGCTTCAAGATCTGGAGATGCACACCAAGCTATTAATGTGCAAAACATCAATTAAAGCATATATCATATAAACTGGAATAATAAAGCGTCAAAATGTTCTGATTATTAATATTAATTTATGTAATTAACAATATAAAAAATGACATAAATTACATGTAAAATTAAATATAAGAGATAAGATTTTATGTTGCAGTATATTCTGATAATTATACAGAAAAGTATTTTTATATATTTTCTTCGAGTGTAATAAAATTATCATCATAAAATAAAATTATCAATATAAATAAAAGTATATTAATACATGACATCAATTAACCACATTAATTAACCATGTTTAATTAAGAGAAATACTTATAACTTACATTTATTTTGTTCTTGATCCTCAGAATGCTTGGTGGAATTTATTGCCGCAGCATTCCGCGTGATACTTTGCTTCCGTGCTTTCCGTTTTTGGCTTCCAACAAGATGGGCTTTTTCTAATTCCTCGTAACTTTCATTTATTGTACTAACTCTTTGAGTTTGACCGTTTGTCTGGCCCCCAGAAGATGAATTACTTTGATGTTTTTTATTAGCTGAAGAATTGAATTTCTGTAAAATTTTCTTTTTTTTCGTACGTTGCTGTTTTTTCTTTTCTTGAAATTCCTCTAAACTCAAAGACGGTAATGCCTCGATCTTCTTTTCCAAGTTAAAGTCTCTATAAAAATATTTATAATAAATATTAATAATAAAATAATACATTGGATATATCGGATACAGTACATATTTAATGTAAACTACAATAAGACGAGAAATAAATATTTATGAGAATGATTCTAAAAAACATACTCGGCTCGAAATCTTTTACGTGCCGTCCAAGGTCCATAATCTACTTGATCCTCGGCTCCTTCAGTTTCTGTATCTTCAGGTTTAGAAGCTTCCATTTTTCCCTCAGCACTGAATATATTTTTGGATTATTTGTACATATAAAAAATTAATTTTAAAAATCTAAAGTGTAATAAATATGTTACCTCTCAGCAAGATGTTCTTCACTGCTTAAGGAATCTGTCTTTTCACTAACATTTGACGAAATAGAATTTCTTCTTTCATTTGAACGCTCATCATGACTAAAAAAAAATAAGGGATGTATTTTTTAACATTATATAGATAACAAAATTAGTTATTTTATATATTTCAAGACAAAAGTTTTAATACTTACCCATGACTTCCAATTGTTCGTCTTCGTTTGTTTTGTTGGCCCGAGGGGCCAATATTCTGCTCAGCAAGAAATTTCTGATAACGTAAACCTTTACATGTTCTTTCACTACGAAAATTATTCTCCTCTGGTTGTATATGCATTGTTACAAAAGAATTTATTGTATCCTTCTCATCTTCTATGATCTGAAATAGATTTTTAATCGATTATATAATGCATAGGCATTAACAAATGCATCATGTAATGTTTCATAAACTTATATTTTCGTAAGCAAGGTCGATTCTTACCGTTTCGTGCTGTTCGTTGTTATTTGACTCAGCTTTTTTTCTTTTCTTCTCGCCAAAGAGATCTGTCTTGCAATCCCTTTTCTGGTCACTTTGGAAAGGTGATTCTGTGTACCTCTTTTTGGGTGGTTTCGGTGGAACAGAATCACTTTCTGCACCATTAATCTCCTCGGACGTCTCTGTCTTTTGAGGAGTGAAGAGAGAACTAAGTCCACCAATCTGCGATTCATCGGCTAATTTGCCTGGTTGAATTGATTGTCCGTCCCGTCTGTCTGACTTTGTACAATCGGAAGACTCATATTCAGATTTGACACTATCTGTGGACTGCACGCCGCCACTTGACTCTTGCTTCTTGTTGGTAGGCCTAGTATTTAAAGTACGTAGCGGAGGTGCTGGTAATTTGTACCACTTGAAGTCAGGATTTGCATTTAGAAAAGCATCCTTGTACTGAAATAATAATAATAATAATTGTGCTACGTGATATTCATATCCTTTTAATATAGATTTAATGATAGTTGAATAAAGTAATTTTATTTTTATTTTATTTTTTTACACAATACAACTTTACATTATTCTGCAAAATAAAAATCAGCTGATTAATTTTTCATGTGTTATCCTTACTTCCTGTGCAAGATTTGTGTAGGAACGCTTCTGATCAGGATGAAGAGTTGCCCACCATTCACCCAAAACCCTGGTGACTGCCCTATTTTCCAAGTGCGGAAAACCAGATCGCACTGAACCACGGTGCCTCTTACAAAAAATCAGAAATGCGTTCATAGGACGTCTTGCATGATGGGCTGGTTCCCTGGTCTCACGCGATTCCTACTCATTTATAATAAATTATGTCATTACATGTACATAGTTAAATACATAAAACGTATCTAATAACTAAATAATAGTTTACACACATCAATTGTATAGTACATTACATATTTATGAAAAACCCAGTAAATTCATATAATTTTCTTATTTAAATAGAATGATTTATAAACATTTATCCGACTTGTGTCCAAATAAATAGTGAATGTAAAAAAATATTTAACAGAGTGTACGTATTCTACAATAGTTTTTTAAATATATAATTTGTTCTTTTATATGATTTATATTTTTTATTCAGAAAAAAAGAGGAAAAGAGAACAGGGAAGACAGGAGAAGAAAGAGTGAGGCTCACTGAAAAAATTAATATGGCTTATAATAATATGGTTTTTCAGTAAGAATTATTAAAATAAAAGAACAGTCTTCATGCAATCTCGATTCATCTTTGCTCGTCTCCGACTACAGCGAAATATTTATGTAACGTATTATAAATCTTTGTTGACCAGTGACTTCCAATATCCTTAAGTAACACATTAATTCGCATGATTAAACCAGGAATACTCCAGGCAACACGTTTGACAAGTCCGGACAAGCAACAAAAATGCGCCGTACCCACTTCTCCTGCATTAGGAAATGTCTATGATGTGTATCATCAAGTTTTGCATCATAGCCATAAGTAGCCATGTTGTGCTGTGTCGGTGAAGCCTTTAAAGTGACACAGCCTTTAAAGTGACACAGCTTGTCAGTATCCCCGAGCTCGCACATATCCCGCCCGCTTAAGAGCTTTTGCGCTCGGCATTGATCCACATCATGGTCTAGCCGATTTCAGCCGATCGGGCTCGCGCGAGAGAAGAAAAAGAAAGGGAAAATGCCGATCGAGGAATCTGGAGAACCAGACCCCGATCCGATCCGATCCCGCTGGTGCGCCGTGCGCATATGCATGCGAATCGGCCGAAAATAAACGAGAAAGTTTCGGTCTGCGCGGCAGCGCGAGGAAAAGCCACATCAGGAGTCCTGTGCAACACGCAAAATGGATCATGTATATGTGCACGTAATTGCAACATATGTCCCAACGGTGCTGGGCGGTCCGAGCGGCGGCCCGTGTGAACGGAGGCACGAGGAGCGGTATTCGGACGAGAGCCTTCTCGTTCGCCAAGTCTCAATCGTCGTGCAATCGTGGAAGGACGGACGGATAAAAATCCGCGTTGTGTGTCTCTCGCACGGCGGCTCGCGATCGCGAGCTCCTTCTCTCGTGCAAATCATGTCGTGCGCCGCGCCGCGCCGCGCCGCGCCGTCGCGCTTATCCGCGATGACACATGACGTTTCGTGACAGGGAGGCACCGCGAAGCTTTTTTTCTTTTCCGTACGCCGATGATGTAGCGCCGTTTAACGGCAATTAAACGCCCGACTCAACGAAAACGCTATCGATTCGTCTCGCGGCTGGCAAAGTTGAAAAAAAAAAGAAAGGGGGGAACATTTATCGCGTATTTAACGCGCGACGACGTCGTACGAGGCCGAGAGGTTCCCGAACGGGATCAAACGGGACTTCCGCGGGAGACGAGAAAGGAGGATCCGTGCGGACGGAAAGTGAGAATCCGCAGCCCTCGCTGTGGGATTTCTCAACGCAGGAAGTCGCGTCTCTCCTTCTCTCTCTCTCTCTCTCTCGTCTCGATATCGACGCCGCGGATCGTCGATCTCGTAACGAAGAGCGAACTGTTGTACACATATGTTGTACACCACTCGCTCGAGAGTCGAACGACAAAATCGTGATGCGACCGCCCCGGAAAAAGCTCGTCTCTCTCTCTCTCTCGTGCCAGATTTCTCGCACGAGCGTCCGCGAGGAATTCCCGCGGGGGGGGAGGGAAACGAAAAAGCGGAAAGAAAAAGGAAGAAAAGGTACGGGGGCGTACGGGGGCGCAGACGGACGGGCAACCCGTTCGACGGGAATTCGTGCAGCGCCCGCGAGCTGTCACGCGTCGTAAACGTAGCAGCTCGCGTCGAAACACGGCTCTATTGTGGGGCCTGTACTACGCTGCGCTTCGATTGCACCGTCAGCAGCAGCAGCAGCAGCAGCGAGGTCTCGCGGGGGTACCCCCCTCCCCCTCCCCTCACCCCGCGCGTTTCTTCGGCCGAGCGCACGGATAAGAAAACAAGAATGCGCGACTGCAGGTCGGGTCGGTGTCACGGGGATCTTTTTCGGCTTATCGGACAAGCGGAGGACACCGGGCACTCACGTCGCCGCCGCCGCCGTCGTCGTCGTCGTCGTCGTGATCCTCGTCGCGCATCCTGGGACGCGGCCGCGGCGACGTCGTCGTACCGTTCATCGCGCCTCACTGACAGCTGCTCGGCTGGCCGATGTAAATACGGCGACTGACTGCGCGATCTTTGAATGAAGACGTGCGATTATTCGGGAATGCGGCGCGCTAGCGGGGGACCGATTAATATCCGCGCCCCGCGTTATCCCGCGGGGAATCGTCGCGCCGTTTCCCGTCGACGTGACGAGTCACGTCGCCGTTTCTCGTCCTCTCGTCGTCCACCGTCGCGTCGCACGTCCGTCCGTCCGTCGTCGTCGTCGTCGTCACGTCGCGCTACGACATCCCGTACGTGCGCATGTATGTATGTATGTATGATGTATGTATGTGCAATCCGTCTTCTCTCTCGTACGGCCGAAGAGAAAGAACAGGCGAATCGAGCCGTGACTTTTGACACAAAAGCGACGCGCCGCGCGCGCACGTTCCGTCCCGTGGGATCGACGGTGCGCGAGAGCCGCACGGATGCGACCCGCGGCCGCGTTGCCGCTTCCGCCGGTGGAAAAAACGTCTCGCCGTCCCCGCGGCGGCTCGCTCACCTTACGCTGTTGCTCGTTGGCAGCCATTGCTGGATTTCACTTGACAATTCACAACTCAGCGGCGCATGTTACACAGGGGCTACGAAGCGACGAGGCACAGATAAAGGCCCGTTCTACACTGGCCGTTCCGAGCCGCTCGTCGACTTGCCCGCTGCTGATCGCTGTCTGTCTGTCGCTCGCTCGCTCGCTCGCTCGCTCCTCCGTCCTTCTTGCGCCTTGCGCGAGCGCTTGCAGGCCCCTCCACCGCCGCGCGTCTCGCTCCAACCGACGGCGCACGCTTGACACACGGGCTGCACTCGGCCCACGTGAGGAGAGAAAATTCTCGTAGCTGGATACAACACTGCGTGTGACGTTCGTTCGCTCCGCGCTGATCTCCCTCTCTTCCTTTTCCTCTCTCATTACCCTCGTACAGTCTCGCCCCGATCGGCTTCACCCGCTGCAGCGCGCCCGCGACTCTCCTCGGCTCGCGTTACCTCCGCGGGCAAGCAGCCTCTCTCGCTCGCTTCCGGCCGCAGCGTTTCGGGCAAACGCGAACGACGCGACACGTAACGAAAACGTCACGTGCGTCCGCGCCGCGCGATCGTCCGTCGGCGGACTGAAACGCGCGGAGTTCGCCCCGGCCGATCCTTGCCGACGGGCTCTTCTTCTTCAATGAAACGTCGCGTGGCCGCGGTTCTGTCTCGCCACGGCAGATTCGCGCGTCCTCGTCCTCGTCCCACCCGCGGTTCGTCGCGCGAGCGATTTCGCGGATTCGCGGTTAACAGCGTTTCCGGCATCTCTGGGGACATCTTGCGCATCGCATCGCGGAGGCCCTTCGAATTGTCGCGCGCCGCAGGCCGGCGCGCGCACGCGCACCCGCGTCCCCGCGAAAGTCCCTAAGCCCCGGTGTGCGCGCGCGCCACGCCGCAACAGCTGATCGCCGTGCGCAGCGTCGACGCAACAGCTGTCGTTCGGATGATTGTCAAATTTAGAGCCGCCGCCACCGCCGTCGCCGCTGCTCGCCCGCCCCGTTCGGTAAATTTAGTCGTTTGAGGAGGGGCGGAGGGAGGGGAGTTGCTAGGAGCAAATGGATGAATCATTAATTTTTTTTCGGATGTTCTCGAGGAAAAGTCGGATATACAAAGCGTACATAGAACGTATAATATAGGTATATACATATATTATCTATTTCTCCATCTCGCTCTCTATCTCTCTTTCTTTGTTTCTTCGAAGAATGTATATCGTGTTATCTGCGTTCTCGACGAGCACAGAGCTCAGATATTCCGGGAAAATTGGCTTCGTGCGAAACAGATTAGGCTTATAGACGAGCTTTATAATTGCGTTGACTCGGCGGAGGGGGAGGGGGGCATTAATGGTAGATCGATAATCTCGCGTGACGAAAGAAATGTGTATATATAAAATATATATACGCGTCACGCGCGTCACGCACTTATACGTGCCTTTTATTGTCTCAGGATAAAGAGCAAGGTTCGAGATTAATGGAGGCCGTATACCGTCGCTGATCGCCGCGGCTGCTGTGCTGTGCGCGTCGGGTGTAACATTTAAAAATAAAAAGTTAAAAATATATATCGTTCACAAAAAACATTGTATTTTTGTGCCTTTTAGCGCAGGTCAACGACGATAATGACGATAGCGACGGGATAATTCGCCGTGCGAACTTGTTTTCTGTTTTATACACACTATATACTATCCAATTTCCTCCAAAGTCTCGCGTTACGAATTAATTAAGGATATCATATATTTTACAGAAGATACATCTTAGTACTCTTTCGCAAATCCTCAACATTTGTTTAAATATGTAATTATTATGCTCAGCTCTGATCATATTACGATAGCGCGCACGTGTTGAAATAAAGAAATCTCCGATATAATCACGCAAACGACGAAAACTACAGCACACAAAAGCAGAATAACGTTAGAGTCACGATGCAACGTTAAAATGGCGTTAAAATGAATCGTGACCGAAAAGTGACTTTTAAGAATCACTTTGGAGCCATTTTGACACCATTTTGATGTCAGCATGACTTTTTGTTTTGCTTGTGCAACTTATTAATTTTGTCTCCCGTTGTGTTATTCGAGCGCGATGCAAATATACATGGTATGTAATAAAAAAAGGATATCAGTTTTTGTATGTTCCACGTGCTTATTTTTCATACACTGCACACCCACGCCACACACGATGTGCGGCCATGAATATTAATATAATGTCACATGTTTTCTTTTTCTTGGACATCTCTCTGTTCGAGCGCGACACGTATATACAATTCCCTCCGTACGTTATTTACATTCTGTTTGCCACATATGTGTAGATAGCGAGGCACGAACTATATTACAAACATTTGAGCTTGTTTCCACTCACGCGATTACGCTCCGTCCGATTGTCATTCGCGATAATACGTTTATGTCTACATATATGCTTCCATTGTTGATAATATTCACTCCGTCATAATTTCAGTCGCGTCCTGAAACAACTTTACGTGCGCAGACGAACGTATGCATAATTATATACGCTATATACGCAGGCAAAAGAAACAATAAGTAGTATTTTTTACGGCAAAAAATGGTTTTTTGTCAAAGATATTTGATAGAAAATAATATTCAATGTGTGAAAATAATTCATTTCATTGTCTCTCATGATATCTAATATAGATATAACTTATATACATACAGGAAAATGTTTATCGAAGTGTCGCCGTGGAATTTATCGAGCAAGCGATAGTCGATAAGATAGGAATGTCCCGATTATCTTGTGATCGACTGCACTTCGGAGTCACGTCCGGAGCGCTCGGTATTGTTCGTGGCGCCGCTCGCGGGGAGACTGAGAACTGTCCGCATTCGAACTCGAGTCGACGAAATCCATTTCGCGGCTTCTCGACAGTCGCGTCGAACGATGTGCGTACGGTTTTGCAAACTGGTCTTACATAATATCGAGATCTCGTTGTCATTCCCGGTGTATTCGCCGTGGATTTGCGCGCGGATTGGAATGAGGTATGCGTGCAACCCGGGGGAAAGAGGATTTTCTTTCCGCGCGTACAAATATATATAAATCGGGAGATCTCTCTTCCCAACGTCCTCGGAAAACCATTTTCCTCGATGGTTTTGTACGATTCCGGTATATTATACTTATTCGATCGCGCTATACTACATAAATCGTCGTCTCTGCTCTTTGGCGACGAATCTATTTTGCGAAAGAGGCGCACGACGTTTCAAAGCAAAATTTATTTGAAATTAATAATTTTATTTGAAATTATAATTTTGTCTTTTACAGATCCTGTATAACTTGGTGGAATCGAGCCATTTATTTTGCCGGAATCTTGGCGAAAGCGCAGTAGCCGCGTGTCGTGGCGGTCCCGCAGCGAATCCCACAGTAGAATTTCGACGGTGCGGTGAGTCGTGATTTTAAAATAATAATTGAGGACAAGAAATTTGTTAAAATGTCTTCGACATAGTCTGAAATCTGTTTACTCCTTTATGAGATTTTTATATTTTATTTGCGATAATTCTATATGAAGAGAGAAAAAATCTCCAGATGAAAAAATTATTTTATTATATTTATGACATTATTGAAGTCAGCGTCTAACAGCAAAAACAGAGATGAATTAAAATTTTTTTTCACTTCTACTACAATTTGTGATAAAAGATATTATCTGTTTATATTTATGTAGCGCGTATAGATAACATCTATCTTTTTATTTACTGTCAAAAAGCAAAAAGAAAATAATATATATTGAATTATGTATAAAATATCACTCATTTTTTATATTAAAACAAGATAATTTTTTATATTAGTTAAAAATAAATTGCTCTTATTCATTATTTTATAAATCCAGGACAAATTAAAATTAATGTAAATGTTATAGTTACAAAAATAGATCTAAAAAAATATTAAATTTCTAATTAATATAGTCATGATTAATGATAAATTTGTAGTTTCTGACAGTTGCGATAAGATATTATCTACGTACATTTATCTGCATATAGATAATATCTTTTCATTTACTATCAGAAGCGAAAGGAAAATTAATATACATCAAATTACATATAAAATAATATTTCTCTCTCTCTCTCTCTCTCTGTCTCTCTCGTATTATTATTATATTTTATATTAATAAGACAATTTTTTATATTAAATAAAAGTCGATTGCTTTCATCCATTATTTTATAAATCCAGGACGAATTAAAATACAAATAAAATGTAGCAAAAATTAATCTAAAATATTAAATTTGTAATTAATATATTTATGATTATTGTAAATTTGTGAAATTTATACGTTATATCTATCAGATATAACTTATTAGATAAAACTTATCAAATTACTACTTAAGCTTTTTTGACGATCCAACATCAAATTCGCGACAAGTTTTGTATCTTTCCCGGAATGCTGCGGAATTTAATTTACGTGTTGTCCTTTGTACCGTTTATGCACTCTTCTCCCCTGTCCTCCCGGTACGATGTAAACTCATATAAAAGTCAATCTCTAGCTCCGAATAGTTGCGGAAGCCGCTATGTCCCATAGCGATCCTCGAGCTATGATCTGCATGCCTTTGATCCGGCTGAATGATTTTTCGATTTTCCGAATGACTCGAAGATCTACTTTTTATCAGATTTTTTTTTTAAGTTTGCTCGAAAGTTTATTTGTAATAATCTTTGTCGTTTATCTATATTTCTTTTTATAAAAGACCTACTTTTGATTAGAAAATAACGTGCGATTATCTTACGTTAAAGCTTCTGCTTTCACGATACTTTTAATACTTATATTGCATTTCATATCTTTATTATTTCTCTAAAAATTGTATATTTGCGTATACGCGTCTTATATCGAATTTTCATCCGAACTTTAATCCTGCATTGCGCGCATTTAACATCAATTATTTTCAACTATCTCTATCTTATTTCTATTTTACTCAACAGCTCACATCGAGCCCTAACTTGCTCTGTCTTACGAAGCAATTGACTTTTAGGTCGTCTAATCATTTAGGAAGACACCAGCCTAAGGTGAGGGCGACGACAGGCCGAAATCCTTTTCACTGTCGAATTAGATTTATCTTTATTTGTGATACGACGAATCGAGACGCGGGGTGCCGAGAGAGATTCGATCAAAAGCTCATGGAAGGAAAACACACGTGGCTGATGTGCGAACAACAATATTATAACTCATTTACGCAATTCCAATTGGCTTAAGACCCGCGGCGTCCTTCCCTCTTTTGATTTACGAGCACGTTTTGTCCGTCTCGCCGACCAGTCTCTTCTGAGATTTATTCCGACGATAATCAAGTTTGACCTCGATAACCAAATTGCATTTTTACTCGCGGGATATATACGGTATTTGAGATTTCCAGTAACTATATTCGCAGCTATTCCTTAATAAAAATTCTAGCGAAACAAGTGGTTGTTGAATTAAATATTTTGCATTTTTGAGAGAATTAAATTTTAAAAATCTGCGAATAGATAAAAGAAAATCTGATTCTTCCTTTAACTGTAATTAAATTATTTTTTTATTTCGAAAAGTTTCCAAGTAAGTCTCTCGCTTTTAGAATTTCAACTTGAGACCTCAGTTATGCATATATTTAAAGATGTGAATGAGAATAAATTGGCCTTTTCATTTTTCCTCGAGAAAAAATTTACTCCAAGTTGTTCGTATATATGAAAAGAAGCGTACGTGAAACTGGGATACCCAGTATGTACGAGAAAATATAATGTAGGATCAGGGACAAAAGGAATGATAAATTATAATCATGACTTTGTCAGATTTCCCGGGAGAAGTTCGGCGTAAAAAGTGATTTTGTCGTCCTACGTGAACATTTTTCTCTTCATTTCAAGAGTAATTCGGTGTCAGAGGAGAGTCATATGGAAAACTTACTTTGGCAATCAAAAGTATTTTTACACGCTCTCTTTTGTAAATTGAAATTTCGAATTAATTTCATGTGTACACTATAAATTCTTTTATATTGTATTATTAAATAATATTATGTTTCATGCGCTCGAGAATTGTGATAGAGATTCATTGGCGTATCGCGAAATAATCTAATGGAATGTATTAGAGTTTTAAATGAAAATTGTGTTCTCCCATTATGTCTGACAATCATCAGATTTAATTAAAAGCGACCTTTTACACGGTACTTAATCGTTTGGTCGTAACACGCATAAAGTGATATTGATTAATTATTTGATAATATTAAACTTTAACTTTTAATTAAATTGCGTTTTATATAGGATTAATGATTCAATCATATAAATGTTAATGTTTGGCATTTTTAAATAGTGGCAATCAAAACAGTCGTTTTATTCAGCAATTTCTTGTCAATCAATATTAAGTGATGCTAAAAAATATAACTTTGGCTTGTCATAAATTAAAATTTCACATTACGTTCTAAACGATCTTGAATTTATATCAGATAATTCGTGATAATAAAGGCAATTCGTGAACGAAATCTATTTATGACTTTATACTCAACCTATGCAAAAAACATTTGAAGAATCAGAATACACACATATAGAAATATTCGACATATGGAATTATTATAAATATATAAAATATATAATTTCAGACTTGATGTGAATTGCAATTCGTTTAAAATGGACTTTAGCAGTTTCTCGTCGCCACGTTGCACTCTTCTTCTCTCGTGGGAGAATGGTTTATGCGATTTGCGCGGAGTGTGGAAACGAGGACGCGCAAGTTTAGCACAATCCGGAGATTTAGCGTTAATCAACTTTAACAGTCGTCTTCATGAACTAATAAAGTCATTCTGGACCGCCAGCACAAGCGAGCGCGTTCTTCTCGTACTTATCTCGAAAACGGCGGAACTTTCCAAGATGCGGTGGTGCACGTCGAGAATGCGCCTCGGTCGCACATAATGCCCGGTTTTGACACATTCCTTGAGCGGTTTCTTAAAGAGGAGACGACGACGCTCTCCTCGGAAACCTAATCGTTATGACTCGTAACTTTGCGTCGAGTTTTCAACGTGCTTGAATTTCAATTGAAGAAGGTCGCTTTCATACAGTGAATTATCGCGCACAGAACTGGAATTATACTTTATGAAGCAAGTGATTCCGTTTGCTTGAACAAACGTTTACAGTCGCGGTATATATAATTATGGGACGAACAGTGCGCATTTAATGTCAGTTTCTTGACTTTCATACGTTTGTTTAATTAGCGCAAATTACAATCTGTCTCGACGTAAACTTAGTTTGTGCGACTCTCATTTTACAAAAGGATTGCATTTCATTTAAACACATAGAAAATTATATTTCTTGTTACATTTTTAAAACCAGAAAATTGTCTGGCAAAATAAACATATTAGAGAATAGTTATTTTTATAGTTATAATGTAAGAAACAGGTCGATATATATTCATGTATTGTATATATATGAATTGTCGACAACAAATTTATCGAAATTTAGTGATGTTAAATTAAAAATGCTTTATCTTTAATTATCTTTTCATATTCATTTCTATAGATACGTCTATCGAAGATAGAGATATCTGTTTAAAATAGAAATATCTTTGATCTTTGAAATATTTTTTTCTTCTGTGATGCACAAAGAAAGAGCTTTGGCACGAGATCGTGAAAGTAAAATTATTTTACAGTCTCTTTGAGAAAACTAAGTATCTCGTGAACAATCGAATGCAAATCAAATGAATATTCCGGTTAATTCCGGTTCGCTTGGACGTAAACTTTTCCAAATTTTAACGGCAAAAATTTGCATTTACTTATGTATAGCTATATTTACGAAAGCTTTTGAGTATTAAGATTGCGCGCTACCTTTTAAAAGTTAAATAATAAATTAGCGAATTTCATATTCTTTGTACTTTCATATTCCGTTTAGAAAATCAGCCATGCAGTTTTAGTCATGACGAACCATTGCTCCTTTATCGCAGAAATCTAACATCTTCGTCGCAAAAAATAATATTACGTCGCGTAAAGATATCTTACAATTAGTTAATCGACGAGTATAATGTATCCATCTTTCGCATTTTTCTCCCAAGAATTTTATGATTTTAAATGATCTAATTTTTATATTTATTATCCTCTCGTATTTTCCCCCCAAGAATTTTATGATTTTAAATGATCTAATTCTTATATTTATTGTCAAGTCATTTATATAAATCGTTTAAGCGAAAATACTATTCTGTGATTGATGAGATCTTTGTAAATAAGTATCTCGCAAATTGAGAAATAATATCAACGGATTAACGAGAATTTATAATTATGTGGAACATTATGCATTAAAATTAGATTGCCGAATAGACTAACGAGAATTTATAATTATGTGGAATATTATACGTTAAAATTGGATTGCCGAATACGGTATGAAGACCAAATTACTACGTCATTTACTTCTTCAGCTATTTGTTTGCTTTGTCGAGCTAAATACTCTGCTTTT